TTTATTTCTTGAATAGACCCAGTTTTCTGAAATGCAAAGACATATTGCTGGATTCTTAGAAATAGCAGTGGGAGCTCTGTGGGCTCAGAGACAGCCTCTTCCTCTGAGCATTCCTCCCTCCACCATGACATCACTATGAAGGCAATTTTATTTATCACAACAAATACTACTATAGAATTAACAGGAGCCCGACACATGGCAGGGGCTGGAAAATACTTGCTGAAATGAGTAAAGGACTTGTGAGTCTCTGGGGCAGCTGAATGAGACTGTTTCCGTCACAGGACCCAGATGGTGAGGAGAAATGCCAGAGAAGCTGCAGACCCCCTGGCCACAGAGCCTGAGTGGAGCAGAGGTGGCCCACTGTCAGCCACAGGTCAAGTGTCAGGGTGGGGACAGGGCAGGCTCCACCAGGAGGCAGGGCCAGACCACAGGGCAAGGTGGAGATGAGTCTGTGGCATCCCTAGGAAGCTCACCAGACTCGCCCCAGAGCTTCTGACCCTTTGGATCTCTCTGGGCTGCATTCTTCAGGGTCACATTGCTTCTTTCTTGAAGGTGGAAGGAAATGGTCCCATCAGAGTTTTCCAACAGGCCATCTCGGGGACTTCTCCTGAGAACTCCTTGTGCACATACCCCTTCAGGGTGGCTTGGGTTGTGCCCTCAGACCCCAGTGGGGGGCCATATCTCATCCTCCTTGGTCAGCAGGTGAGCCACAGCAGCAGGCCCCCCACAGACCTCAGCCTTGGGCCACAGGTACCTTCTCCCAATTTCTGCATCTGGAGAAGCAACCTGCGGAGCAGCCAAAAGTGGCAGACCTGGCTCCCTGCAGCATTCATTTTCCAGGCAAGACAGAGCATTTCCACTATTATGACTCCCTTTTTATGCTTTGTTTTTGTTTTTCTTTTAAACGTGGTCTCACTCTGTTGCCCAGGCTGGAGTGTAGTGGTGCAATCATGGCTCACAGCAGCCTCGACCTTCTGGGGTCAAGTGATCCTCCCAATCCAGCCTCCAAATTTCTTTAAAGAAAAAAATGCAAGAAAGGCAAAACAAGATATTTGTCTGGGCTGAGAGGGTAAAGAGAAGCTCAATCTTTGAGCTGAGACACAAAATGGAAAGAAGAGGCAGCAGCAGCAGCAGTAGCAGTTCTGCCTTTCCAAACCTTCCCCATCTAAGCGCTTTCAAGATACGCTGAAAGTCACAAATCGAAGTGTGGTTCCCACGGCTTTGGTCCTTGTATGAAGGTCCCTTTGCCAGAACTTACTTCCTTTCCAGCCCACATGGTTAACCTGGGGGTCCAGGCAGTTCTCAAGGGAACCATAGGATTCCATGTGATGTGGGATCCCAGTTTATGATCTCTCTTCTGGTCACAAGCTGAATTGGACCCAAATCTGCGCCCTGAACTTCCCTCTTGCCAGATCCTGCCTAGTCAGTGCCCTCCCCTCGGGCTGGGTGGGCAGCCTGGGCTTCCTGCTGGGACAGGACCCCTTCTCTTCTTGATCTCACTCCCAGAAAAGACACTGACGGAGCAGAGGTGTGGACGCCACATACTGTGTAAGTTTCTCCTGCCTTGACACACCTGAGAAAGCTTGGTGTTTGAGCCCTACCTCCTCCCCACTTTACTCCCACCCCCAAATCCCCTCCTGGAAATAGTCCCGGTTCTTATTTATGCCTATCCAAAGTCCAAAGTCCACAGCCCATGAGGGGCAGCCCTGGTCAGGCTGGTCTTGAACTCCCAACCTCGTGATCTGCCCACTTTGGCCTCCCAAAGTGCTGGGATTACAGGTATGAGCCACTGTATCCGGCCACTCCTGGGGCTTTTTAGTGCCTACCCTCAGTGACATTCTGGTCACCTACGCTGGCTGCTGCAGAGTAACAGAGGCTACTGTCACCAGGGCCCTGGGACCAGATGACCCTTCACCTTTTTTTTTTTTTTTTTTTTTTTGAGACGGAGTCTCGCTCTGCCACCCAGGCTGGAGTGCAGTGGCTGGATCTCAGCTCACTGCAAGCTCCGCCTCCCGGGTTCACGCCATTCTCCTGCCTCAGCCTCCCAAGTAGCTGGGACTACAGGCGCCCGCCACCTCGCCCGGCTAGTTTTTTGTATGACCCTTCACCTTTTTTATCCTTCCACCCACAAACCCCCGGGACTGCTGCTGACACTTGACCATCCTTCCCCCTCACAAACGCGTACTCCACATGGCCTGTGTAAATGGCAGGAACTTGTAACATCTGTCAGTGTAGGCAGATGACAAGATGACAGGAGGAACATTTTCTGATGACAATGAAAGGCAGAGAGACAAGATGAAGAAAACTGTTCAGAGACATAGGCCCCCGCAAGGAGATAACCAAGCATTGTCCTTCTTCAAACAAGATAGTCCCTGGCAGATCCAAGGCTAACCCAGCCCAGGGGCAGAAGAGGACACCAGAAGTAAGGAATGGAGGAAGGAACTACAAGACCTGAGGCAGCAGGGACGCTTGCACGGGACCTCTGCTAGAAACAGAGGGAACAGACTAGGCACAGCAACTCACACCTGTAATCCCAGCACTTTGGGAGGCCGAGGCCGGAGGATCACTTGAGGTCAGGAGTTTGAGACCAGCCTGGCCAAATGGTGAAACCCTGTCTGTACCAAAAAATACAAAAATTAGCCCAGCATGGTGGCACACGCCTGTAGTCCCAGCTACTCGGGAGGCTGAGGCTGGAGAATTGCTTGAACCCGGGAGGTTGAAGTTGCAGTGAGCCGAGATCACGCCACTGAACTTCAGCCTGAGCGACAGAGAGAGACTCCATCTCAAACAAAAGCCAAAAAACAAAAACCAATAGGGAATAGAAGCTGAAGTAGCAGGAAGACCGAGAGGAGGAAGACTTTGTCAGCATGAGAGGGAACAGACAGAGAGAAGGACCTGCTGTCCAAGGCCCCAAACTGAGATGCACATCTACTGGGGAAAATGCTCTGGGGCTTTGGGAGAACAGTCTGGTCTCTAGAGGCTCCCTACTCACCTTTAAGACCCAGGGCAGGCCAGGCATGGTGGCTCACGCCTGTAATCCCAGCACTTTGGGAGGCCGAGGAGGGTGGATGACCTGAGGTCAGGAGTTCAAGACCAGCCTGGCCAACATGGAGAAACCCCATCTCTACTAAAAATACAAAAAAATTAGCCAAGCGTGGTGGCGGGCACCTCTAATCCCAGCTACTTGGGAGGTTGAGGCAGGAGAATCGCCTGAACCCAGGAGGCAGAGGTTGCAGTGAACTGAGGTTGTGCCATTCACTCCAGCCTGGGTGACAAGAGTGAGAATCTATCTAAAAAAAAAAAAAAACAAAAACCAGGGCAGAGGAGCACTAAGGAGGCCCAAAAGAGCTTCCGAATGTCACCAAACTCTCACTTAAAAATGTTTAAAGTGGCAATTTTTTTTTTTTTTTTTGAGACTGAGTTTTGCTATTTTTGCCCAGGCTGGAGTGCAATGGCGCAATCTGGGCTCACTGCAACCTCTGCCTCTTGGGTTCAAGTGATTATCCTGCCTTAGCCTCCTGAGTAGCTGGGATTACAGGCGCATGCCACCACACCCAGCTAATTTTGTATTTTTAGTAGAGATGGGGTTTCACCATATTGGCCAGGCTGGTCTCGATCTCCCAACCTCAGTTGATCTGCCTGCCTCAGCCTCTCAAAGTGCTGAGATTACAGGCGTGGGCCACTGTGCCTGGCTAAGGTGGCAAATTTTATGTTACATATATTTTATACAATTTTAAAAGAAGGAAAAAAGTAAGTCACTTTGGAGAACAATCTGGCAGTTTCCCAAAAGGTTAAACATAGAATTACCGCATAACCTGGAAATTCTACTCCTAGGTACATACCCAAGAGAAGTGAAAACACACGTCCACACGAAAACTTGTGCATGAACGTTTATAGCAGCATTATCTATAATAACCAAAAAAGTGGAAACAACTCCAATATCCACCAATGGATGAATGGATAATCACAATGAGATACATTGATACAATGGGATATCATTTAGCCATAAAGAAGTGAGGCACTGACATACACTACAACATGGACGTATCTCACAAACATTACACTAAGTAAAAGAAGCCAATCACAGAAGACCACGTATTGTCTGAATCTTTTTTTTTTTTTTTTTTTTTTTTTTTTTGAGACGGAGTCTCGCTCTGTCACCCAGGCTGGAGTGCAGTGGCCGGATCTCAGCTCACTGCAAGCTCGGCCTCCCGGGTTTACGCCATTCTCCTGCCTCAGCCTCTCGAGTAGCTGGGACTACAGGCGCCTGCCACCTCGCCCGGCTAAGTTTTTGTATTTTTAGTAGAGACGGGGTTTCACTGTGTTAGCCAGGATGGTCTCGATCTCCTGACCTCGTGATCCGCCCATCTCGGCCTCCCAAAGTGCTGGGATTACAGGCTTGAGCCACCGCGCCCGGCCTTGTCTGAATCTTTTCATGCAAATGCCCAGAATATAGGCAAACCCAGTGGGACAGACAGTAGGGAGGTGGTTATCTAGAGATGGAGAGGGACTGTGGGGAAATAGAAAGTGACTGCTAACACGTACAGGATTTCCTTCTGGGGTGATAAAAATGTTCTGGAATTAGTAGCAATGGTTGCAAAACTTTGTGGATATACTAAAACACATGAAACTGTGCTGGGCACAGTGGCTCATGCCTGTAATCCCAGCACTTTGGGAGGCTGAGGCAGGTGGATCACCTGAGGTCAGGAGTTTGAGACCAGCCTGGTCAACATGGTGAAATCCCTTCTCTACTAAAAATACAAAAAAAAAAAAAAAAAAAAATTAGCCAGGCATAGTGATGGGAGCCTCTAATCTCAGCTACTCAGGAGGCTGAGGCAGGAGAATCACTTGATCATTTGAACCAAGGAGGCGGAGGTTGCAGTGAGCCGAGAACGCGCCATTGCACTCCAGCCTGGGCAACAAGAGTGAAACTCTGTCTCAAAAGAAGAAAAAAAAACAAAAAACAAACAAACAAAACAAAAACAAAACTCATGAAATTGTATACTTTAAAGGGATGAATTTTATGGTATGTAAATTATGTCTCATTAAAAAAAACACACTGTTAAGAAAACCAGGAGTGGTCTAGGGAAATGCCCGGCCACGGCTCTAAGCTCCAGGAGGGGCCATGCCTCACCTCTCTGGATGGGAACTCAGCACAGCTGGCATCAAAAGGCTGAGTGTCCCCTGTGTCAGGCATCACAGGGTCAGGAGGCTCCTGGCATAGAGGGGATGCGAGGCAGGGCAGTGGAAGAAAGAGGGTCCTGGCGCAGGGAAGAGGGGACCAGGCTGCCGGCCCAGTGCCCAGCTGCTCCCCGTCCCTCACACCCTGGCCCTGGAGCCCTTGGCCACATGCCCCATCCCAGGGACCGCCTAGTTGTGAGAGAAGTCCCCATGGGAGAAGGCAGGGAGGTCGGGGGCACAGGCAGCAGCCTGGGGCAGGCAAGCCAGGGGGTTGACCTCACAGGCCTCAGCATCCTGGTCCCCTCGGAAGTGGATGGAGTCGGCAGAGTAGAAGGAGGGGTCTTCGTCAAAGAAGTTGTAGGGTCGGAGGAAGAAGCCCATGCCGTTCCCCACAGTCACCGTGTTAGGAATGTCCTCTGCATGTGGGATGTGCAGAAAACCAGCTGTCACCCAGGCCACCAAGTCCTAGCAGGGGAGAAGAAAGAGGGTCACGAGGTCTGGCTTTGCTGAGAATGTGCCCTGCCTCCCGCAGTGACCTTGCAGATAGGGAGTCAGCTCACCCACCTATATGTTCTTAGTTCCTCAGGAAAAATGTGAAGTCATAAAGTTTCTTTTCTTCTTCCTTTTTTGTTTTTGTTGAGACAGAGTCTCGCTCTGTTACCCAGGCTGGAGTGCAGTGGTGTGATCTCGACTCACTGCAATCACCACCTCCTGGGTTCAAGCCTCAGGCACCCGAATAGCTGGAATTACAGGCACGTGCCACCACACTCTGATCATTTTTGTATTTTTAGTAGAGATGGGGTTTCACCATGTTGACCAGGCTGGTCTCGAATTCCTGACCTCAAGAGACCCACCTGCTTCGGCCTCCTAAAGTGCTGGGTGGGATTATAGGCATGAGCCACTGCACCCGGCCGAAGTTTCATTCTTAGTGGGTTCTGAAGGTCCCTGAGGAATCTGGCTCCTGAGGCAGTGAAGTGGCTCATCTTGTCCCCCTGACTCCTCCCCTCCTCCCCAGCTGCCTGCTCACCACTCCATGCAACTGACCTGCCCTGCAATGGTCTCATTGTTGATGAAGTCAGTGAAGTCCACAGTGGGTGTCCAAGGGTCATTCAAATTGTAGATGCTGGTGCTACTGGGCTCCTCCTCCTTCCGCTGGGTTACCGCCAGCTGGTACCTACAGGAGTTTTTGATTAGACCGACAAGTTCATCAACCGTTCCACTGCCTGAGGCTGCACTGAAGAGTGAACAAACACAAGGGGGAAATGAGCCCCGAAGTCTTAGAGTATTGAGCCTCTATATCATCTCTGTCCAGTTCTGCTTGCCTCTCTCTCTCTCTCTCTCTCTCATCTGTAGACTTCCCGACTTGTCCGCTGTCCTGTACCTTAAACATCACTGGCCCAGCAGACTTCAGGTAGGATGTTGCTCATCCATCCATCTGGATCAGAGCATGATGTTGAGCCTGGGCCTTGGAATCACATATGGACATGGCCTCTTTCCCATCCTAGGTCAAGTTCAGTATCCCAAATACCTAGATTTTAGGGAATCCTCCCTCCGATCTGTGCTCCTATCTCACTGTTCTTTTCCTCCAACCTTTAATGTGAACATTTTAAACATACAGAAAAATTGGAAGAATTGTATGTGAACATCCACATACTCAAGTCTAGCGTCTACCACTAATATTTTCCTAGATTTGCTTCAATGCCTCATATCTCAGCATTCCTCCACCCACCCATTAGGCTTTGTTTTGAGTGGCTACAGATTGTGGCCACAGGAATGTGTGTGTGTGTGTGTGTGTGTGTGTGTGTGTGTGTGTGTACCTGTGGGAGGTGGAACAGTGTGGAGCCCTTCATCCATTCTACCTGCCCCACTCCCTCCTGACCGCCAACCACTCACCTCCCCCAGCTGAAGCTTCTCTCCATGGAGCTGTTCTGGGGTAGCGGCTCCCCAGAAAAGCTGCGCACCTGGATGCGGTAGCCCCGGGGGTGACCCCACTTGTTGCTGTGGTTGCTGGCCAGGTACAGGTAGCGAGGGGTTGCACCTCCCATGGGGAAGGCGGCCTGCTCCTCCGTCTCCAGCAGCTTCCGGGTCACCTCCATCCTCTGCATCTGGTGCTCAGGGCTCCACGGCACAGCCATGGGGACAAAGGCCATATCCTCGGCCCAGACCCAGTTCTCTAGTCCTGCTCAGGGTGGGATGGGGGAGGGCCTGTCATGCAATTGCCTTGGCCCCTCTGGACTCTGCCTCCACCTGGCTTCAGAGTGGGGGCAAAAGAGCAGCCCAGAACTGAGTGTGCCCCTGCTTCTCTTCCCTCTCTACAAGATAACCCCAGTCCAGGGATTTGGAGGAGGTCTTTCTCTCTACTCTCTTCTCTGGTAATAATCCCAGATGCCTTGTGACTGGGCCTCCACCAATTGCCTCCCTCTGAGGGGCTGCATGGGAGGGTGTTTACCTGAGGTTGGAACAACCTTGTGGGCAATAGGCAGGGTGGCACTCCCTCTGACCTGAAGACTTCCCCTCACATGTGAAGCCCTGTGGCATTGCCAGGACTGCCTTATCATGAAAATAAGCCGCACATTGACTGAACCTGAAGGAGCTGTGTAGGCAGCATGCTGAGTGCCTTCTGTGTATTCATGCTTTCACTTTTCCAACAATCTCAAAAAGGAGGAACTATCATTGTCTCCATTTTACAGATGGGACAACTGAGGTTTAGAGCATTCAATAATGTACCTTGGTTGGTCAGCAAGGACACACGGTTAATATCATGGCAGTGCTGGGGACCTGGGTCTTAGTCTGGCCTTACACTGCCCACACATCAGCACATAGAGGAAGACAGCATAGAGAGACACCACAACACAAGAACAGCAGACGTGGGGACCAAGGGGAAGGAAAACCAACGCTGGGCCCGATGCTGCTGGGGCTTGGAGGTACCTTTCATGTTTGAAACTTGGCAGGGAGCAGGGAGCAGGGGTTAAGACACAATCTGTTTCCTGAACTTTTGGAGTCTGAATGATTTTATTTGAGTCCAACTAGGTCCCACATTAGGAGTCAAGTTAAGTGATCTGAGACAAGGAGCAATAAATCAAAACATGCTGGTAGTTCCCTCTGCACCTTCCAAAGACCAGGAGAGAGGAGAGACTGATTCAGCAAACCCTTAGTTTCCTTTTGTAGATTCACTGCCCCTAATCCATATCCCAGTGTTTCCACCCTTAGCTGACAATTGCAAACTAAGAGGTTTTTTTTTTTTCTTTTTTCTTTTTTTTTTTTTTTTTGGACAGAGTTTTGCTCTTGTTGCCCAGGATGGAGTACAGTGGCATGATCTGGGCTCACTGCAACCTCTACCTCCCAGGTTCAAGTGATTCTCTTGCCTCAGCCTCCAGAATAGCTGGGATTACAGGCACACAACAGCATGCCCAGCTAATTTTTGTATTTTTAGTAGAGACGGGGTTTCTCCATGTTGGCCGGGCTGGTCTCAATCTCCTGACCTCAGGTGATCCACCCACCTCAGCCTCCCAAAGTGCTGGGATTACAGGCGTGAGCCACTGCGCCCAGCCACAGACTAAGAGTTCTTTATGGTCCACACACACAAGTAGGCTCCTGTGGCTAATCACAATAATACCTAGTATTTCTCAAGGGCCCGCTATGTGTCAGGCACTATTCCAAGTGTTTTAAAAGTTGTCCTCATTTAATACAGAGATAAAGATAGATGTGTGTGTATGGGTTGGTTGGAATATATGCTTGAATTTTCTAGCTAAGTCTACTGAGAGGGCCTAAAAGCAATGACATCCCAGTAATGATGAGCACACTTGGTGCCCAGATATTGGTTTCTAAATACCATTCTCCAATAAAGTGAACCTGATCTCCTTGCAGACAAGGTTGATTCCAGGGTAGGAGCAGGGGAAATGCCAGATGAAACATTTTTGGGTGCCAGAAAGTAAGGAAGGGCTCAAAAAAGCGTGGAGGTATGTGAAAAGGACATAGGAACTAATCTGAAGGACCTCCCAATGGCCAGAGTTGGAAAAATGTAAGGAACAAAGTAAATGATAGTACTCCGTTATAACCCTTAAAGTACAATAAAAAAACATGAGTCTATACAATTTGAATAAATAATTGAAAACAGAAATAAAAAGGAAGGACAACTCTTCTTTATGGAAAATTCCAATTAATAAATGTATAAGGAATAAGGAAAACTTTTAAGGATTAAGAAAATGTGGTATATCTACATGATGAAAAACTATTCAGCCTTAAAAGAAGAAAATCTCATTGCAACAACATGGATGAACCTAGGGGACATTATGTTAATTAAATAAGTCAGACACAGAAGGACAACACTATATGATCTCACTTATATGTGGAATCTAAAAAAAGTTGAACTCATAGCAGTAGGAAGTAGAATGGTGGTTACCAGTGCCTTAAGGAGGGTGGAGTTGGGGAGATGTAGCTCAATGAATAAAAAATTTCAGAAGTTCAAGAGATCTATTGGACATGGTGGCTCATGCCTGTAATCCCAGCACTTTGGGAGGCTGAGGAGGGAGGATTGCTTGAGCCCAGAAGTTCAAGACCAGCCTTGGCAACATAGTGAGATCCCCATCTCTATTAAAAAAAAACAAAAAACAAAAAAACTTAAATTAGCTGAGCGTGGTGGCGTGTGCCCACAGTCCCAGATACTCAGGAGGCTGAATTGGGAGGATTGCTTGAGCTCAGTAAGTTGAGGCTGCAGTGAGCTATACCATTGCACTCCAGCCTGGTTGACAGAGTAAGACCCTGTTTCAAACAACAGCAGAAATCCCAAAGAGATCTATTGTACAACACGGTGACTATAGTTAATAACAATGTATTATATATTCTGGAATGTGCTAGGAGTAGAGTTTAAGTGTTCTTACCACCAAAAAAATGATAAGGGCTGAGTATGGTGGTTTACACTTGTAATCCCAGCATTTTGGGAGATCGAAGTGAGAGGATCACATGAGCCCAGTTAGTTGGAGGTTGTAGTGAGCTATGATCACACTACCTCATTCCAGCCTGGGTGATAGAGACCCTGTCTCAGAAAAGAAAAAAGAAAAGAGATGAAAAAAAGAATGTAAACCACCTGAGAGCAACACTGTTGTTTCTTTTGTTAAACTGCATAGTGGGGTGCTTGGCACAAGTGTGCATTCATACATTTTTGTTGCTTGCTTGAAAAATGTTGTTATGTGAAAAAACAGAAGTGACAAAACATAGGTACATTATGATAACATTTGACTATATAAATCTAAATACTTCGATCAGTATATCATATTTATACATAGTATACAATATAATAGATTCTATAATCACAGAGGTAATTTTTTTAACTATGGAAGACTTTTTTTTTGAGACAAAGTCTGGTTGTCATGCAGGATGGAGCGCAGTGGCTCGATCTCAGCTCACTGCAACCTCTTGACTCCCAGATTCAAGTGATTCTCTTGCCTCAGCCTCCTGAGTAGCTAGGATTACAGGTGTACCCATGCCCAGCTAATTTTTGTACTTTTGGTACACACAGGATTTCGCCATGTTGGCCAGGCTGGTTTTGAACTCCTGACCTCAAGTGATCTGCCCACCTCAGACTTCCAAAGTGCGGGGCTTATAGGTGTAAGCCACCATACCCAGCCCAAAGAAAACTTTTAAAGCTAGGCATGGAGACTTCAGCTCACCCCTCCGGCACCTTTGCCTCTGCCAGGATGCCTTACCTGCTACATCCAGGTCCACCTTGAAGTGGGCGCTGTGGGTGTGGGCCGTGCCCAGGGTGTGCTCTGAAACTTTGTTCCCATACCTCTGGGCAGCGCCAAAGGGGAATGCTGAGCTGATGTAGCCGGTGGTGTGGAGTCTGACTTCTATGGCCCCATTAGGGTGGAAGACTGTATCCCACACATAGTCATAGTTGAGCATAGTGGACACAGATCTGACAACCAGCACCGTTTCTGCAAGGCCCCCAAAGTAGTGGGAGTAGAGATCTGAGTGGTGTCGCCGCAGGGGGAGGCCCTGGTTGTGTTCAAATACACAAAAGGCATCACGTATTGTCTTGGCGGCCTGGGACTCGAAAAGGAAGTGCCAGTCCACATAAGTGGCCAGGTAGGGGCAGTCCACCCCACGGGTCAGGGGCGTGGAGAAGTGGCCCAAGCCAAAGCTGCTATCTATGTACCGGCTTCGTAGAGCAGAAGGAGAATTGCCTCCATAGATGGCCAAGGCCTCCTGGACACTGACTTCATAGGCCACCCTCTCCCCTTGGAAGCGAACGTCAAAGATCCTTGGGCCGCTGAATGCTCCAAGGCCAAAGGAGAAAGTCCACAGTGAGGAAGCCACTCGCCTTCCCTGGACACTGAAGCGGGGGCCCTGGGGATGGAACTGCAGAGGGGGAGCTGGACCCGGGGGCACAGGGGACTTCAGGAACCAGGACCCACCTGTGCCATTGTCTGGGATCAGCACCACGTTCACAAGGCCGGCCTCAAACTGGGCCTCCAGCCGGGCCAGGCTGTCGTAGTAGCGGCCTTGATAGAACACCTTCTGGATGGTCCAACGGGCAGGGTCCAGGGCCTTGTGGTTCACTAGCAGCTCCAAGCCCACGGGGTGCAGGAAGAACCCAGCCCCTGAGATGTTGTAGTAGAGGCCAAACCAAGTGGCCCGGTCCCCTGATTGCAGACCACGGGGAGCCGTGTTCATTGTCACCAGGTTCCGTTCCTGGTGCTTGTAGAAGCAACAGTGGTGGAGAAGCCCAGAAGCCTGGGGCAGCTCTCTGTCGAAGATCATCTGGTCTATGTCCAGGTACTCTCGGAACAGCACGGGGCGTCGGTGATAGGGCAGGGGGCCTCCATGACACTCCACGGTCACGTCCCGCATATAGGAAGGGTGAGGCAGTGGCCCCACCACCAGCTCACTCACGTTGGGCTGGGGTTGCCTGCCAAAGAAGACGATGGCCAGTGCCTCCCGGGCAGGTGGGGGGCTCCCCCTGTCCAGGTGAGCCAGGGCTGCAGCCTTGGGAGGCAGCTGTAGCTCCACTGAGAAGACACAGTTGTCCGAGGGCCGGGCCTGGGCCGCATCCACCAGCCCTGGCCCCAGTCGCTGGGTCAGAAAGTGCATCACAGCTGTCAGCTCCTCTCGGCTCAGGTCTGCAAACAGCTGGCTCTGGCCAGGGTGTGTCCAAGGCTGGGCACTGGGAGATATGGAGGCGCAATGGGGAAGCTGGTTCAGCTTACATTCCCTCTCACCTCCTTTCTCACTCCCAGCCCCGCCTTCACCTATGCCTGTCACCAGAACACTAAACAGGGACAAAATAATGAAGACAGCCATAGCTGAAGCTCCTGGGTCGTCTTCAGGCTCTTGGTTCTGAATGCAGAATGCAAAATAGACAATGATAAACAGCCAGACAGGACCTGGGTGCAGGATGTTTCTCTCCGCCTCTGAAGGCGCTGCCGGTCAAGAGGAATGATGGATATTGTGAAAAACCCCAAGGGCAGAGGGGTCGAGGGTGGAGCTAGAGGGAACTAGGAATCAGGCCGTGTTCAGGAGGTGGGGCAGAGTTAGGAACTTTGACTTTAAATGACCCACGTAAGCCTCTGTCCTCCTGTTCCAAATCAAACAACACACTCAGGGTCAGGGTCAACGAACCGAGTAGGCTCAGAGGTGCGTTTTGGAGATAAGAACTAGCAAGGCGCAAGAGGAAGTGGGGGTGACTGTCCTGTGGCTCTCCTTTCTCTTCCCTCCAGGTGGAACTTTTCTCCTGGCTGCAAGGCTGCAAGGGAAACTCACCTGGCCACGCCTCCACAGCCAGATTCCCTCCTTCCCTCCTCTAATTTTTGATGTCCTCCAGGTTCTGCCTCCCACCACTCTCTCCTGCCTCCATCCATCAGCCAGAATCCTAGCAGCAGCCTGAGGGAAGCCTGAGAGTAATGATGAGAAGGCAGTATTTAGTAGGGAGCTGGAGGGGCTGAAGGGCTGAGCCAGGTCAGCTGTATGGAGGCCCCAAGCACCCTAAGTCACTGCAGGGGAGCGTGCAGGGTGCAGAACAAGCTAGAAGCTGCCTGGTTCATTGGGGTGGGGGTGAGGGTGGGGGTAGGAACCAGAGTATAACCAAGACCTTCAGGCCTCCCCTTGTACTGGACTGAGGGATAGGCCAGGGCAGAGGTCAGATGGGGCTGGCAAACTGGCTGTGGACTTACCTCACGCCTGAAAATCCTTTTCCAAAATGGTGCCGACATGGAGAGTGAAGCCGCCTCTGTCCTTCAGAGCCAATGGCTGAGCAGCTTCTTTTCCAGGTGACAAACATGTGGAAAGCCACTGTCATTTGGGCAGCCAGGTCCTGAGGGGAACTAGAAGAGACTGAGGGTTCCAGAAGGGGTTGTGCTTCCCTTGTGTACCTGGGGAAGAATCTTCTCCAACCTTCACACATCTAGGAAGACTTCTCAGGAAGAGATGTTCGAGCCAGCCTTGGAGATGATACATTCACCTGGCAGAGAAGAGGAAGGATATTCCAGCACAGAAACCCGAAACAGCTCAGCACAAGCAGGGAACAGTCAAGGATCAGCCTATTTGGTGGGAGTTGGGGAGGAGGGGAGTAGGCAGAGGAGGTAAGATCATGAAGCCTTGTGTGGCGCATGCTTTCAGCAAGGTAGTCATTGCAGGAGACAGTGAGACAGACATCTGGAAACCTAGAAGAGTTTAAGCAGATAAATCAACATCAGAAGGGTCAGGCTATCCAGAAATGTTTATGCCATCGGTTGTATTTTGATAAGGAAACTTGCCTGGTTTTCCTGCCTCTTGTTCTTTTATTTTACTTTATTTTTTTTTAAACAGTCTTGCTCCATTGCCCAGGCTGGAGTGCAATGGTACAATCTCTGTCTCCCGGGTTCAAGCAATTTTCCTGCCTCAGCCTGCAGAGTAACTGGGATTACAGGTGCATGCCACCACACCCGGCTAATTTTTGTATCTTCATTTCATTTCATTTCATTTATTTCATTTCATTTCATTTCATTTTGAGATGGAGTCTTGCTCTGTCGCCCAGGCTGGAGTGCAGTGGCACAATCTCAGCTCACTGCAACCTCCACCTCCTGGGTTCAAGCCATTCTCCTGCCTCGGCCTCCCGAGTAGCTGGGATTACAGATGCATGTCACCATACCTGACTAATTTTTGTATTTTTAGTAGAGATGGAGTTTCACTATGTTGGCCAGGCTGGTCTTAAACTCCTGACCCCAAGTGATCCACCTGCCTCGGCCTCCCAAAGTGCTGGGATTACAGGTGTGAGCCACCGTGTCTGGCCTCTTGTTATTTAAAGCTGTAGAAGTAGTAGGGCTCATTTCAAGGCTGTAAGAAAAGTAGGGTTCCCCTTTCCTGCAGGATGGAATTTCAACATAATAACTCCCCCCTCTAGGCATGTGAGCCCTTCTTGTCCTCAGGGAAACCAAGAACCACATTTTCTCTTGCTGAGCTGGTTTTGATGCTCTGCAGAAGCTCTTCATGAAAAAACTTTTTTAAAAAAAGTTGGGTTTTTTGTTTTTCTGTTTCGTTTTGTTTAGTTTTTGAGACACAGTCTCGCTCTGTCTCCCAGGCTAGAGTGCATGGAGTGCAGTGGTGTCATCATATAGCTCACAGCAGCCTCAAATTCCTGGACTCAAGCAGTGTTCCCGCTGCAGCCTCCCTAAGCTCTTGGATTACTGATGACAGCTCCCTGGATCAACTCGGGAAGGAGAAAGGTTTTTGAGAGATCCCCTACAGAGTGAGGGCAGGTCTTAGGGGAATTTTGTGGGATTCACAAGTAGGGAGTGTGTGTGTGTTAAGAGAAAGAATGGCTAGAGCCGACTCTCCCGCCCAGCAAGGCCTTAGGGAAGTGATAGCCTTAGAGGGGAACTCATGCCCAGGCCCCTCCTCTGTCTCCACCTTGGCAAGATTTGGCGAGGCAGTGGAAAGTGAGTTTAACAGCAGTGATCACTGTCCACTGAAGACTAGCTGACAGTCCCTGAAAGTCCCAGATTCCAGAGTCTTACCTAACCCTAAAGATGAGCACTCTCAACAAACATGCCTGGAGTTTAATTTCCTGCCAGCCGGGTAGCTGAGGGCACAGAGCTGGTTATCTAACATAAAAAAATAAGGCCAGGCATGGTGGCTCATGCTTGTAATCCCAGCACTTTGGGAGGCTGAGGCGGGTGGATCACCTGAGGTCGGGAGTTCAAGACCAGCCTGGCCAACATGGTGAAACTCCGTCTCTACTAAAAATACAAAAATTAACTGGGCGTGGTGGCCCACGTCTGTAATCCCAGCTACTTGGGAGGCTGAGGCACAAGAATTGCTTGAACCTGGGAGGCGGAGTTCGCAGTGAGGCAACATTGTGCCACTACACTCCAGCCTGGGTGACAGAGCTAGACTCTATCTCAGAAAAAAGGAGGAAAGAAAGAGAGAAAGGAGGGAAGGAAAGAAGGAAAGAAGGAAGGAAGGAAGGAAGGAAGGAAGGAAGGAAGGAAAAGGGAAGGAAAGGAAAGGAATGGAAAGGAAAGGAAAGGAGGGAAGAAAGGAGAGAGAGGGAGGGAGGAAAGGAAGGAAGAAAGAAAAGAAGGAAGGAAGGAGGGAAGCAAGGAAGAAGGAAGGAAGGAAGGAGAAGGGCAGGGAAGGAAGGAAGAAAGAGAAAGAGAAAGAAAAGAAAGAAATAAAGAGAGAGGAAAGAAGAAAGAAAGGAAGGAAGGAAGGAAAGAAAGAAAAGAAAAAGAAAAGAAAGAAAGAAAAGAAAGGAGGGAGGGAGGGAGGAAGGAAGGAAAGAAAGAAAGAAGAAAGAAAGATGAAAGAAAAGAGAAAAGAAAGAAAGGAAGGTAAACGGGCATGGTGGCTCACGTCTGTAATCCCAGCACTTTGGGAGGGTGAGGTGGGAGGATTGCTTGAGCCCAGAAGTTCAGGATCAGCCTGGGCAACATTTTGTAGAGACCCACATCTGTATAAAAAAGTTAAAAAAAAAAAAAAAAAAAAAGAATTAGCTGCTGTAAGGCATGATCATGATGCCATTACACTTCAGCTTGGGCAACAGAGCAGGATGCTATCTCAGAAAAATAAACAAAAAGAAAAGTGACATTTAATAATTACGCCCAAATGTTGGGGAGTAAAACTCACACCCAATATTCCCATCAATGAGCAGTAACATGGAGATGAGGAACTAGAAAGCTTCTTGAAGTCAAGACAATGGAATTACTGTAACTAAGGCAGGAAAGGGTCATTGGAAACAGATTGTGAAGCAGAAATTTAAAGAAAATAAATACTGCATGTACTCACTGCAAGAAAAGTAAAGGTTAAGTGAAAAACAGAAGTTTTCTTCTACTGCAGGCAAGGCTATAGACAGGTCATGGTGACCTAGCCTGCAGAAATAGGCTCCAGACACCCCCGAACAAAGTTAAAAGAAGAAAAACAAATTTCTTTGCTGTCTCCCCTTTCTCTAACCCATTAATTATGACTATGTTTGCCAATACTTTTATTCAGTAAAATTTGTAAGTTTCTGTTTTACAAGTTATACCAAGTCAACAGTTATGCTATAGGTTACGTGACTTGTCACTGTATAGTTTACTGTCTTTGTCCTGTTTCTGTGTACTAGCCTATGTAAGCTAAACTCTGTCTTTGTTCAATGCTCAGCTTTTTAGATGTGAGTCCACTGAGCCAGTGCGCACCTAATAAACATCCTCCTGTATTCACCCATGCTAGTCTCTCTAGTCCTCTGTGTCCTGCAACAGTTGTGTGACCTTTAGGATAAAGGAAATAAAATCTAATGTCAAGGCCTAGCCACAAGGCAATCCATCCCAGCCAGGGAACTTGTGTCTGGGCCCTTTGGTAAGTTACAGTCAATAGTGAGGAAGGTACCTCCAGCTCTCGGCTAAGAACATGCCATTAAGATAACTAATGCTGGAGCTGAGCACAGTGGCTCACGCCTGTAATCCTAGCACTTTGGGAGGCCAAGATGGGCAGATCACTTGAGATCAAAAGTTCGAGAATAGCCTGGCCAACATGGTGAAACCCTGTCTCTACTAAAAATACAAAAATTAACTGGGCATGGTGGTGGGCACCTGTAATCGCAGCTACTCAGGAGGCTGAGGCAGGAGAATTGCTTGAACCTGGGAGGTGGAGATTGCAATGAGCCGAGATCACACCACTGCACTCCAGCCTGGGTAACAGAGCAAGACTGTCTCAAAAAAAAAAAAAAAAAAAAAGGATGACTAAGGTTGACCAGGTGCAGCAGCTCACACCTGTAATCCCTTCATTTTGGGATGCCAAGACTTGAGGATCACATGAGCCCAGGAGTTCAAGACCAGCTTGGGCAATATAGAGAGACCTCATCTCTACAAAAAATTTTAAAAGAAAATTAGCCAGGCACATCCTAGCTACTTGGTAGGCTGAGGCAGAAGGATTGCTTGAGCCCAGGAGTTCAAGGCTGCAGTAAGCTATGGTTGTGCCACTGCACTCCAGCCTAAGGGACAGAGCAAGACCTTGTCACTAAAAAAAGAAAAAAACAGAGAAAAGATTTATTTTGGTTGAGCGTGGTGCCTCATGCCTGTAATTCCAGCACTTTGTGAGGAAGAGACAGGAGAATGGCTTGAGCCCAGGAGTCCAAGACCACCCTGGGCAACATAGCCAGTCCTTATCTCTACAATAACTTTAAAAAATAAATATATATAGGCGGGTGTGGCGGTTCATACCTATAATCATAGCACTTTGAAAGGCCAAGGTGGGCAGATTCCTTGAGCTCAGGAGTTCAAGACCAGCCTGGGTAACATGGCAAAACCCTGTCTACCAAAAATATAAAAAATTAGCCGGATATAGTGGTGTATGCCTGTAGTCCCAGCTACTTGGGAGGCTGAGGTGGGAGGATCACTTGAGCCTACAGGGTGGAGGTTGCAGTGAGCCAAGATCGTACCTCTACACTCTAGCCTGGGCAACACAGTGAGAACCTGTCTCAAAAACAAAACAAAACACCAAAAACATATATGTAGAGAGAGATATTTGGCCAATGACAAATATTGACAGTTAAAGTAAGAAAGGCTGGCTGGGCATAGTGGCTTACACCTGTAATCCCATCACTTTGGGAGGCCAAGGTGAGAGGATCACTTGAGCCCAGGAGTTTGAGAGCAGGCAACATAGTGAGACATGGTCTCTACAAAAAAAAAATTTTTTTTTTGTAGACAAAGTTTCACTCTTGTTGCCTACGCTGGAGTGCAGTGGTGCAATCTCGGCTCACTGCAACTTTCACCTCCCAGGTTCAACCGATTCTCCTGCCTCAGCCTCCAGAGTAGCTGGGATTACAGATGCCTGTCATCACACCCAGCTAATTTTTTGTATTTTTAGTAGAGATGGGGTTTCATCATGTTGGACAGGCTACTCTTGAACTCCTGACCTCAGGTTATCCACCTGCCTTGGCCTCCCAAAGTGCTGGAATTATAGGCGTGAGCCACTGTGCCTGGCCTACAAAAAATTTTTAGAATTAGCCAGGCATAGTGGCACATGCCTGTAGTTCCAGCTACTCAGGAGGCTGAGGTAGGGGGATCGCCTGAGTCTGGGAGGTTGAGGCTGCAGGGAGCCATGGTGGTACCACTGCACTCCAGCCTGGGTGATAGAGCAACACCTTGTCTTAAGAGGAAAAAAAAGAAAAGAAGAAAGAGAAAGAAAGAGAGAGAGAGAGAGAGAGAGAGAGAGAGAGAGAAAGAAAAGAAAGAAAGAAAAAGAAAGAAAGAAAGAAAGAAAGAAAGAAAGAAAGAAAGAAAGAAAGAAAGAAAGAAAGAAAGAAAGAAAGAGAGAGAAGGGAAGGAAGGAAGGAAGGAAGGAAGGAAGGAAGGAAGGAAGGAAGGAAGGAAGGAAGGAAGGAAAGAAGGAAGGAAGGGAGGGAGGGAGGGAGGGAGGGAGGGCTGAGATCACCCAGGGAGGACTTCCAGAGAGAGGAGAAAGGAGGACCAAGGACAGAGCCCTAGAAAACGCAAGAGCTTGGGGATCCATGAGTAGATGAGGGGAGCAGAAGTCAAGGAGCCTGAGAAGACTGAGAAGAAACAAATATGGATGAAAAGGGGACAATGTTAGGGAGTCAAGATGGGAGAGAGTTCTGAGAAGAGACGACAGTTGGTGTTGTCAAATGCCACCGAGAGGTCCAGAAAGTAGGCGGCCAGGAGCTCCTATTTATTTTGTGTTTAGGAAGTCACTGGGGGCCAGGCGCTGTGGCTCACACCTGTAATCCCAGCACTTTGGGACGCCAAGGCGGGCGGATAACTTGAGGTCAGGAGATTGAGACCAGCCTGACCAACATGGAGAAACCTTGTCTCTACCAAGAATACAAAATTGGCTGGGCGTGGTGGCAGGTGCCTGTAATCCCAGCTACTCAGGAGGCTGAGACAGGAGAATTGCTTGAACCCAGGAGGTGGAAGTTGCAGTGAACCAAAAGTGCACCATTGCACTCCAGCCTAGGTGACAAATGTGAAACTCCATCTCAAAAAAATAAAAAAATAAAAAAATAAAAATAAAAGAAAGGAGAAGTTCAGGTCCTCAAGTCAAAGGGATTATGAAGCCTGCATCCGCGCCTCATCAGGCCATAGCATCCACCTTTCTCCTGCATCTGTCCTGAGTCTGCCCTTCTCTCCGTCTCTCCCCGTCCTCCTTCACTCCTGCCTCTGCTCCTGGCCATATTATGAATTAATACGCCATTGCAGGCCCCCTGCTCCTTACTGAAGGCTTTCTCCCTGTTCTTTAGAGCCTCATTTCTCTCCAGCTCACTGACTCCTCCCCATCCACTGTTCCACTGACCTATGGCAGAACTTGGGCTTGGGGCAGAACAGACAGAAGGTAACAGAAGCTTCCATGATGCTGGAGCTCTAGAACATATTCTGGTCTTTTTCTGGTCAGAAGCTGAGTGGCATCCAGAATGTGTTTCCTGCACTTTACCTCCTGCCCTGGCCTGGGCTTCTGGCAAGCATAAGTCCCCCCTCCAAGTCCCCCCTCCTCACTGCTTCTCAGTGCCCCTCACTGAGAGAGAAAGAGAAGGAGAGGGAAAGGGCCGGCATGGCGTGTCAGGGAATTAACCGAGGTTTAACATTTCCTCAAAAATGTACAAGCATGAGAAGGTAAAAGAAGTTACTACAGGCCACACTTGCTTCTCTGGGTCTCAAGAAGTGGAGAAAATTTCATCCCTGGTCCTATTCCTTAACCCACTTTACCCTACCCCCAACCTGTTCTCCACCAAAAAAAAAAAAAAGTATCTGTAAAAAAAAAAAGTCAGTTCCTGTTTGGGCCCATTTATTGTTTATTTTGAATAGGTAATACAGTCACATGGTTCAAAATTCAAAATGTACAAAAGGGTATAAGTGTTAAGACCCTTCCCTCCCCTGTCCTCAACCTCCTGGTTCCCCTCCCAAAAGTAATCAGCGTTATCCATTTATTCTGAATAGGTATACATAAGCAAATATGTATTTATATTCTCCTCCTTTCTGAAACACAAATGGGAAGTGCACTATACATATTTCCGTGGCTTGCCTTTTTCACTTGAAGATTATTACATATTAGTATATAAAGGCATACAATTATTTTTCAGCTGCATACTATTGTATTGTAAGGCTGTATCAGAACTGATTTAACCAATCCTTTAGGGAAAAAAGTTTCTGTTGTTTCTCATCTCTTGCTATTTCTTTGTCCTCATCCCCAATCCAGACCTCAGGAGGGACAGCAGTGACGGGTACGGAGCCCAAGCCTGGACCAGGCCAGGCCCCGCCCCACCCACACCAGGCCCCTCCCCCTTAGGCCAGACCCCCACCTCACCCAGGGCCCAGCTCATTTGCAATCCTGAATGTGATTGGACAGTCCCTCCTGGCTGGGTGGCCAGAGTTCTAGGGGCTTTGGCTCCTCATCTTTGATGCCCACTCTTGGTTTCCACTCCAGCCTCCCAAGCAGGTTGTTGCAGAATATAGAGCCCTGGTACAAAATACCCATTCTTCATTATCACTGCACCCACAAAATCGCTTGAAATGCTAACTTGAGCTGCTGCTGTCACGATGACCATCCTCCTCTAGAGAGCATGAGGCAGGCAGACACAAATGCACAGAGGCAGCTGTCCTGAAACACACCCAGCCCCAGGACAGGGGTAGGAGCAACTCCTACTCCCAATAAGCAACAGACGCAAGGGAACGACACACAGGGATTGGCCTCCAATTAGGGGTCCCATTGCATCTTTGAGACTTCCACAGGGCTGGAGAGGAGACTGAAGTTGATTGAGAAGTGCGGGCTGGGGGAGCACCAGGGGCTGGGGCACAGGGATATCCCCTCAGGATTCGGGAGAAATTGCAGGATAGAAGAGAAGGCAGGAACAGGACGAGGAGGAAGTAGGCGAGAGGAAGGAAGACAAGAAGGAAGAGACCTGGATGAGAGGGAACGTGAGCAGAAGCATCCTTTCCAGCTCAGCTACGGACTTGCAGGACTGGCAACCCCACCCTGGGGTCTCCAGGGAATAACCCCCTTTTAGAGTCCTTAGAGATGGCCTGAAAAGATTTGGGAAAGCCAGAGAGCAAAAAAGGGAGCCGTCTAGGGAAGCCCTCAGCCATGGTTCCAGGCTGGGCCATGCCCTGGCCTCACTGGATGGGAACTCAGCACAGCTGGCATCAACAAAGCTGACTGTCCCCTGTGTCAGGCATCACAGGGTCAGGAGGCTCCTGGCATAGAGGGGATTCGAGGCAGGGCAGTGGAAGAAAGAAGGTCCTGGAGCAGGGAAGAGGGGACCAGGCTGCCGGCCCAGTGCCCAGCTGCTCCCCGTCCCTCACACCCTGGCCCTGGAGCCCTTGGCCACATGCCCCATCCCAGGGACCGCCTAGTTGTGAGAGAAGCCCCCGTGGGAGAAGGCAGGGAGGTCGGGGGCACAGGCAGCAGCCTGGGGCAGGCAAGCCAGGGGGTTGACCTCACAGGCCTCAGCATCCTGGTCCCCTCGGAAGTGGATGGAGTCGGCAGAGTAGAAGGAGGGGTCTTCGTCAAAGAAGTTGTAGGGTCGGAGGAAGAAGCCCACGCCGTTCCCCACAGTCACCGTGTTAGGAATGTCCTCTGCATGTGGGATGTGCAGAAAACCAGCTGTCACCCAGGCCACCAAGTCCTAGCAGGGGAGAAGAAAGAGGGTCACGAGGTCTGGCTTTGCTGAGGACATGCCCTGGTAGGGATTCAGCTCACCAGCCCAAGCATCATGAGTCTTTAAACATTTTTTCCTACTGGATAGAAGTCAAAGCATAAGTAGTCCATTTCTGGATACAGTTAGCCCCGCCCGGCCAAGTAGTCCATTTCATATTAGGAACGCCTGCCTCCCTGTCCCTGGCTTGCAGCCTCCATCTCCGACATTTCCCATCGTATCGCCCACTGCCTACCTACCCCCAGAGGGTGACACCCACAGGCTACTTCAGCTCCTCTTCTCCTAACTCTCCAAGAGTTCCCCACAACTGAGGGAAGAAGGGTGGAGGAGTGAGAACCAGCGCTTGGGAGGCAGAACTAGGCCAACACTGTGAAATTCAAGTCAGGAATGGGAGAAGCTTCAGATATAGGAGATGTTATTTTCGTTGGTAACTTCCATCCCTCCTGAGTCCTGGAGCCTAGAAAGGACTCAGTCCATGAAACTGGAACTAAGAGGGCTCTAAGATCTCAAGGACAGGCCCAGGGTCTCACTCAGTGTCTGAATACGGACACCCAGCTCAGAAAGGTTCCCTCAAAGGATAGTGATCAGACCTACTGAAGTGCAGAAGGCAGGAATCAGCACCACCCCTGAGAAGTGCAGGTGGTTTTCAGGGACCCTCCCAAGAGAAAGTAAGGCTCATCCTGTGCCCTCTGTCCCGGCCAGCTGACCTTTCCAGCAATGGTCTCGTTGTTGATGAAGTCACTGAAATCCACAGTGGGGGCCCAAGGGTCATTCTGATTGAAAACGCTGCTGCTACTGGGCTCCTCCTCCTTCCGCTGGGTCACGGCCAGCTGGTACCTAGGGAGGCACTGGTCAGGCCTCCATGGCCATTGACCCCATCCTGCTGCCTGATTGTGACGAAAGGGAACTGAGTGCTCAGAGCTCAGCTTCCCCAACTGCATTGACACAACTGACTCGGCGCTACAGAATCCCCGACGACACCCTAAAGGGGGTCAAGTCCTCCTGTTTATCCCCAGCCATTTCACAGCACAACCCCTCTCCCATCCAAAACAAAAGAGAGTTCTCACTCCTGGGCTTTAGCCTCCAAGGGGAAAATGTGCCCATCATGGTTTCTTCGGATAACTAGAAAAACCTCTGGCCAAGCGTGGTGGCTCATGCCTGCAATCACAACACTTTGGGAGGCCAAGGCGGGTGGATCACGAGGTTAGGAGTTCGAGACCAGCCTGGCCAACATGGTGAAACCCTGTCTCTACTAAAAACACAAAAATTAGCCAGGTGTGGTGGCGTATGCCTATAATCCCAGCTACTGGGGAGGCTGAGGCAGGAGAATCGCTTGAAACTGGGAGGTGGAAGATGCAGTGAGATGGCGCCACTGTACTCCAGCCTGGGGGACAGAGCAAGACTCCATCTCAAAAAAAAAAAAAAAAGAAAAGAAAAGAAAAGAAAAATCTTCCTGAGAGATCTCTCCCCTCACATACAGGGTGAGCTGAGTGTCCGCCAACACTCCTTTCCCACTCTCACTGCCCCCCTCCTCTCTGACTGCCCACCACTCACCTCTCCCAGCTGAAGCCTCTCGCCATGGAGCTGTTTTGGGGCAGCGGCTCCCCAGCAAAGCTCAGCATCTGGATGCGGTAGCCCCGCGGGTGGCCCCACTTGTTGCTGTGGTTGCTGGCCAGGTACACGTAGCGAGGGGTGGTGCCTCCCACGAGGAAGGCGGCCTGCTCCTCTGTCTCCAGCAGCTTCCGGGTCACCTGCAGCCTCTGCAGCTGGTGCTCAGGGCTCCAGGGCACAGCCATGGGGACAAAGACCATATCCTCGGCCCAGACCCAGTTCTCCAGTCCTGCTCAGGGTGGGATGGGGGAGGGCCTGTCATGCAACCACCCTGGCCCCTCTGGACTCTGCCTCCACCTGGCTTCAGACTGGGGGCCAAAGAGCAGCCCAGAACTGAGTGTGCCCCTGCTTTTCTTCCCTCTCCCCAAGATACCTCCAATCCTTCAGCCAAAGCTGTGGACCTATAAATTAAAATATTTCATCAGGGATTTCATTCCATTTCACTCATTCATTCTTTCAACATTCATTAGCAGAGAGGACTGTGCTTGCCCCTGGGGATAGAGAGGAATGAACATCATCCTTACCCTCTCGCTTTCCACGCAGACAGGCAAACCACTGACTGGCCTGTCCTGTGGGAGGAGCATGGCCTAGGCAGCTTCCGGGCCACAGGAATACACTTGCAGGCAGGAAAAGGGGGCCCTTCCGGGCAACTTTTCAGCCTGGCCTTAAAGGATATTACCAGAAGAGATGACATGGAAGGACATTCTAAGCAGAGACAAAACATAAGCAAACAAGAGGATGCCTGACTATAACGTGTGAAGTGCGTGTCCACGGACATGGAGTATGTGGGTATAGTTGTGCAGAGCACGGCAAGGCAGGTTGGAGCTGCACTGTGAAAGAAAGAGTTTGGAGGGGCTTCTGCGGACAGGATCCCACAGGTGATGAGGAATGTGAGAGCTGAGTAAAAGGCAGGCTGGTGTGGATGGGAGGCCCTCTGGGTGCAGAATGGCTCTTGGATCTGAGAGCAACAAGAGCAGAAACAGCAGAAAGAGGGCTGGCACCTGCAGGGCATGGCAGTGTGACCCAGCGAGATACTGCAGGTGCAGAATAGAAAGAAAAAAAAAAAAAAACACCTGGTGACTGACTCAATGTGGGGAAGGACAGTGAAAAGACAAAGATGAAGACTTCAAGCCATCATGTATCCTTGGCTCTCTGTGACCAGACTCCAGGATCTATCCAGAATGCTCTACAGGCTCCATGTGACCCTCACATGGATTGTGAATTGTGACCAGAGAAAGAAGGAAAATCAGGGAGGAGGAGGGTCCACCTCCAAAGGAAATGTACAACCTGGAATGACGGACCTGCACACGCCAGGGACTTGGTAGAATGCAAAGAGATCCTCCAACACACCAGCACCACAGGCCAGGCACAGAAATGAGCTGACAAACAGAAGGCTGCTCCCAGCAGCGGAGCCCATATAAGTACAAGCGAGGGAAGAGGGCAATGGGAACCCTGTTAGCCCAGATCCTGCCTCCTCCCTGAGCTTGGCCATTTCCCAAGATCTTCTGATGAGGTCACGTGGAGGAAGGCTGCAGCTTTGCACCCAGCCAGTGAGCTAAGATCCAAATAAAACTCAGCTGCCAACTCTCTCCCATCTAGCAAAAAGGGAAGCACAAAAATCCACATCTTCCTTTATGGGATAATCTACACAAAACCCAAAGCAAATGGAAACAACTTTTCAGCCCTTCTTCCAGAAGCCTTCTCCCCACCAAAATGTTTTACCTCCTACATCCAGATCCACCTTGAAGTGGGCGCTGTGGGTATGGACCGTGCCCAGGGTGTGCTCTGCAACTTGGTTCCCGTACTTCCCGGTAGCACCAAAGAGGAATGCTGAGCTGATGTAGCCCGTGGCATAGAATCGGGTTTCTATGGCCCCACTGGGGTGGAAGACCATATCCCACACATAGTCATAGTTGAGCAAGGTGGACACAGATCTGACGACCAGCACCGTTTCTGCAAGGCCCCCAAAGTAGTGGGAGTAGAGATCTGAGTGGTGCCGCCGCAGGGGGAGGCCCTGGTTGTGTTCAAATACACAAAAGGCATCACGTATTGTCTTGGGGGCCTGGGACTCCAAAAGGAAGTGCCAGTCCACGTAGGTGGCCAGGTAGGGGCAGTCCACCCCACGGGTCAGGGGCGTGGTGTACTTGCCCATGCCAAAGCCTCCATCCACATAGCGGGTCATCATTGCTGCTGGGGAATTTCCACCATAGACGGCCAAGGCTTCTTGGAGGCTGATCTCATAAACTAGTCTTTCTCCCTGGAAGCGAACGTCAAAGATCCTTGGGCCGCTGAATGCTCCGAGGCCAAAGGAGAAAGTCCACAGTGAGGAAGCCACTCGCCTTCCCTGGACACTGAAGCGGGGGCCCTGGGGATGGAATTGCAGAGGGGGAGCTGGACCCGGGGGCACAGGGGACTTCAGGGACCAGGACCCACCTGTGCCATTGTCTGGGATCAGCACCACATTCACAAGGCCGGCCTCAAACTGGGCCTCCAGCTGGGCCAGGCTGTCGTAGTAGCGGCCTTGATAGAACACCTTCTGGATGGTCCAACGGGCAGGGTCCAGGGCCTTGTGGTTCACTAGCAGCTCCAAGCCCACGGGGTGCAGGAAGAACCCAGCCCCTGAGATGTTGTAGTAGAGGCCAAACCAGGTGGCCCGGTCCCCTGATTGCAGACCACGGGGAGCCGTGGTCATTGTCACCAGGTTCCGTCCCCGGCGCTTGTAGAAGCAACAGTGGTGGAGAAGCCCAGAAGCCTGGGGCAGCTCTCTGTCGAAGATCATCTGGTCTATGTCCAGGTACTCTCGGAACAGCACGGGGCGTCGGTGATAGGGCAGGGGGCCTCCATGACGCTCCACGGTCACGTCCCGCATATAGGAAGGGTGAGGCAGTGGCCCCACCACCAGCTCACTCACGTTGGGCTGGGGTTGCCTGCCAAAGAAGACAATGGCCAGTGCCTCCCGGGCAGGTGGGGGGCTCCCCCTGTCCAGGTGAGCCAGGGCTGCAGTCTTGGGAGGCAGCTGTAGCTCCACTGAGAAGACACAGTTGTCCGAGGGCCGGGCCTGGGCTGCATCCACTAGCCCTGGCCCCAGTCGCTGGGTCAGAAAGTGCATCACAGCTGTCAGCTCCTCTCGGCTCAGGTCTGCAAACAGCTGGCTTTGGCCAGGGTGTGTCCAAGGCTGGGCACTGGGAGATATGGAGGCGCAATGGGGAAGCTGGCTGGGTTCACCCCCATCTCCACCCCTGCCCACCAGCAGGACACAAACCAAGGCAAAGATGGTGATGACAGCCAGAGTGAGGAGCACCAGGATGGTTTTCTGGTTCATTTTCCCATGAAGCGGGGCAGTGGATCCAACCAAAGGAGAGCAATGTATTCTCACGCCAGCACGACGGGGGCTCTGTTGGCTCCTGGACGGGGGGGGGGTGCTCCCGGACTCTGGCTGAGGTTCCCGGTAGTCAGATGCCTGGGACTAAGGGTGGGAAGGACACAGGAAGGCTGGGGCAAGGGGGCGGGGTGGCTGGGGTTGGAGGCGGGTCTGAGCAGCTGTGATTTCCACAGACCTTACATGGTTTTGTCTTCCAGGCTCCAAATCAGACTACTTTCTGGGTCAGGGTTGGAGTTGGGGAGAGTTGGGGCTAGGGGGAAGGGGAAGGAAGATTTCAAGATAATGCAGCACCGGGAAGGAGTAGGATCTGCGCAGAGCAGCGTCTCTTCCCCTCAGCCCAGCTTCTTCCCCAACCCTGCACTTAGTCAGGGCCAGATGTTTTCCTGTAACTTCAAACTATTGTTCTCCTTTCAAAGACCCCCACCCCTGCCCCTTCAGCTTTCCAAACAAAATTCCTTGGCCAGGTCTATCTCCCTTGCCCTCTGTCCCCCACTGCTAATTTCCCTGGCCAGAGTCCTTAGTATGCTCCAGGGGACTCTAGCTACTTAAAAGGTCAAATAATAAATTCAAGTAAAATTCCTCTAATACTTTTTATTATAAATTACATATAACATCTGTTTTACAAAATTCTATCTACTCTTCCTTTTGAATGCACATGCATAAAAAGATGTCTGGTGTAATGTGAACACTACCTTTTTCTGAGTAGTAGGATTTGTGGTATTTTTGTTTGAATATTTTTAAATCATTTTTATAATTTAACATTTTAGAGATGAACAGGAAGTAAAAATTAACCAAAGGGACTAACGGGGTTTTCATGTGAGAGAAACATTGAAGGGTGGGGAATCTGGGGAGCAGGTGTGAAAAACACCAGGAACAGAAGTAGAAACAGGGAAAAGTACATGTGCCTAACCATCCCCCCCGCCACACCCTCAGGACTAGAAGCCTTGGTAAGAGAAAGGGGGTAAGTCCGGGACACAGGCTGCCAGGTCGGGGAGGCAGGCCACAGGATTGATGCTGCAGAGCCCAGCATCCTGGCCCTTCTCAAAGTAGACACTGCCAGGGGAGAAGATGGAGGGGTCCTCATCAAAGAAGTTATAGGGTCGGAGCAAGAAGCCAACTCTGTTCCCCAGAGTCACTGTGTTGGGGACGTCCTCGGCATGGGGAATGTGCAGGAAGCTGGCTGTGACCCAAGCCACCAGATCCTGCAGGAAGAGGGAGGAGCTGGAGGACTATGGAAGGAAGACCCAAAGAACCACCATTCAGCCACAATCCCAGCCTGCAGTCTCAGCCTGGCTTCCACTCTGCCTAGTCTCATGCCCATACAACACATGGCACAATCTATGTAAGCAGCTATGCGGGGAGAGGGGGAGCCAGTGTCCCAGAGCTAATCTCACCCCAGGAGGGATGACATGTGTTGGTCATCAGAAAACTCCATGGCCTCTGAATCTGTGAACTGGAAATCGGCCATTCCCTCTAACCTCTGGCCAGAGGCTGGGCAGCCAATGCACCATGCCCACAGGTGTCCCTTTCCTATGTCCCTAGGGCAACCAACCTCTCCTAAGAGGGTTTCATTGTTGATGAAGTCAGCAAAGGTGACTGTGGGAGTCCAGATGTCATTCTGGTGATAGATGCTACTGCTCTGTGATTCCTCCTCCTTTCTCTGGGTCACCACAAGCTGGTATCTGACCAGGAATCGTAAGAAGGTGGTGTTGGAAGATGTCAGGTGCCTTTCCTGGCCCAGAAGTCCCTTAGATCCGATTCTGTGTGAGACCATTTCCCACCGTGTATCTAACTTGGGTTTGAGGGGAGGTACAGGTAGCCATGGGCAGGGAGTTTGTCTCCAAGGGCTGGGGTAGGTGAGGGGCAGTCCTTTCCTTCCACCCAGGCCAGGGCCCTCCTCACCTCCCCCAGCTGAGGGCCCTCTCCATGTCACTCTCCAGGGGTAAGTGTATGCCAAGGGGGCTGTGGATCTGGATTCGGTACCCGCGCTGGTGACCCCAGGCATTAGTCTGGTTGCTAGCCAGGTAGAGGTAACGGGGTAAGGGGCTTCCCAAGGAAAAAGCTGTCAGGTCCTCCTTTCCCAGGACCTGCCGAGTCAGCTGTGGGCGCTGTAGCCAGTGCTCCGGATTCCAGGGGGCGGCCACAGGTTTAAACACCACGTCTTCAGCTACCACCCAGTTTTTCAGCCCTGCCAGGGGGAGGGAAAGGAGATGAGTTCCACACCAGGTAAGGTCTCTGGGCCAGGTCCCTGTCTTCCACATGATGTCCACTGCACTGGCGTGACAAAAGGCAGAGAGAGCATCAGAGCACACTGTGCTGGGAGCCAGGTCTGGGCAAGCGCAAGTTCCTGTGTTCTTCCAACTTGCCTTGTCCAATAGGGTAACCACTAGCCACACGTGGCTATGAAAATCAAAATTCAGGGCCAGCTGAGGTGGCTCACAGTTGCAATCCCAGCACTTTGGGAGGCTGAGGCGGGTGGATCACGTGAGCCCAGGAGTTTGAGACCAGCCTGTGCAACGTGGTGAAACCCTGACTCTATAAACAATAAAAAAATCAGCCAGGCATGGTGGCACATGCCTGTGGTCCCAGCTACTTGGGAAGCTGGGGTGGGAGGACTGCTTGAGCCCAGGAGGTTGTGGTTGCAGTGAGCTGAAGTCACACCACTGCACTCCAGCCTGGGCAACAGAGCAAGACCCTGTCTCAAAAAAAAAAAAGAAAAAAAAATCAGTTCCTCAGTCACACTAGCCACATTTAAAGTGCCCAGTTACCATACATGGCTAGTGGCTACTGTTTAGAGCCACAACACAAGCACAGAACATTTCTATCACTGCAGAAAGTTCTATTAGCACTGGACTACCAAACAGTCCCTGGACCAATTTGCTTCTCTGATTCACTTTCTGAATCCCTACACTGGGCATGATTAAAGCTGTTCTATGGCTGTGCCCAGTAAACAGAAAAGCACATGCAGCTGACTGATGACATTCGTTTAACTATGAAAGGGATAATGATACTTGTCGTGGAGAAGCAAGTTGAAAAACTGACTCCAGAGCCAGGTGTGGCAGCTTGCAACTTGGGAGGCTGGTGGCAGGGTGGTGCACATCCCTTGAGCCCAGGTGCTGGAGACCAGCTAGGGTAACAGAATGAAACACTGCCTTTTTAAAAAATAAAAAAAATTTTTTTAAACTTAAAAAAACAAACAAATGCCAGGCATGGTAGCTCACAGCACTTTGGGAGGCCAAGGCGAGCGGCTCACTTGAGACTGGAGTTCAAGACGAGCCTGGCCAACATGGTGAATCCCCATCTCTACTTAAAAAAAAAAAAAAAAAAAAAAACCAGGTGTGGTGGTGTGCGCGTGTAATCCCCGCTACTCTGGAGGCCAAGACACAAGAATCACTTGAACTGAGACACAAGAATCGCTTGAACCTGGGAGGTGGAGGTTGCAATGAGCTGAGATTGCACCACTGCACTCCAGCCTGGGCAACAGAGTGAGACTCTGTCTCAAAAAAAAAAAAAAAATTGGGTGTGGTAGTGTGTGCCTGTCATCCCAGCTACTCAGGAGGCTGAGGCAGGAGGATTGCTTGAGACCAGGAGGTTGGGGCTGCAGTAACCTGTGATTGCACTACTGCACTCCAGCCTGGTGAGAGTGAGACTCTGCCTCCAAAAAAGAAAATCCAATCCCTTCCCATGGTCCCCTGCATACTCCTCCCAGCTCTGAGGCTTCACTTTCGATCTCAGCAAGGTGGGAAGTACTGTCAGTCTTTTTCAGAAGCGAGCACATTCATACCTTTGTCTGGGAGCTCCTTGGAATTCTACAGCATCCATAACCTGCATCGCCTAACTCAGCATTTGGTCATACACTTTCTGCAGGTCTGGACTGTTAGTTCCTTTCAACGAGACCTATATGAAGGCGCCTGGCACAGGAGGGACTGCACTGAAACTGGTGCCTCTGCAGCCATCCTGTGCGCTGGTGCCTGACACAGCCTCTCTGGCCCACAGCAGCAGCCCATGCTGCACATGCTAGGAGTCCAATAAATGTTACTTCCCAAAACAAGGCTCTTTAATGCCAAAGATGCTGAAAAAAACTTCCAATCAGAAGACAAGTCAAAATCCAAGTGTGTCAAAGAGTAATCTAGTTAAAAAATGATCATTTCAATCATGCTATTAGTCCTCCCTACCCTCCACGCCACTGCGAACACAAGTGCAAGGGCATGCACACAGACACACGCAGGCATGCACGTGCCATGTCTTTAGACTTGAGGATAAGAAAACATTTCACAAGAAATACTAGTTTATGTTGCATTATACCTGGGCAGTCATTTCCTATCCCATCTGCCGCCACCCTCTTTAGTTTCCCTTAAAATGGGGAGGGTCTGGTGAGTTTCTAATTTTCTTTGTGGATCTAAAAGTCTGTGAGTCTGTAAGTTCCTTTCTGTCCTTGACAAAGTCTGTCAGGAACAGCAAGTCCTCTGTGTGCTTTGAGCCCTTTGTGCTTGAGAAATCTCTTTCCATACTTGCAGCAAGCTGTGTGCCTGCCATGAGTCAACAGTGATGACAGGAATGGGATGACCCTCCTGACAAGGAGTGGCCCTATCATGGGGAGCAACCCCAGCTTTGGTACCCTCCCCTTCCCAAGCCCCAGGTCCACCCCGACCCTGAAGACTTTGAACAGACTGCTTCTGACCTCGGCTCAGGACCCTGCCCTCCCCACCCTCACTGACCCTCAGAATTAGCAAGAAGCAAAGTGTTCCAACTCCAGCCCCATTGGGCCAGTTCACCCACCCAGTGTCACTTGAGGCTAAGGCAATCATGCCCAGCCATTACATTTAAACTAGTAGGCAATCATGCCCAGCCATTACATTTAAACTGATTTCACAAACACAGGAAGTCAGAGGGGCTAGGCAGGGGAACCCTTTTTACCTTTTGCCAGATACCCAGTAGCCCAGTACCAGACTGACTGCACTGAATATGCTTAAACAGTCCCTGTCCTGTTGCCACTAGAGCTGTGGTGCTGGAACACCCCGCTCTTGCCACTTATCTGAGCTTGACCTGGGAGATTCCCTTCCCTTCCCTTCCCTCCACCCCACCTGACCCCACCTCCAAGCCCTCATCCCTTAGCACTCACCTGCCACATCCAGGTCCAGCTTGAAGTGGAAGGCATGTGTGTGCACCGTTCCCAGCACTCGTTCCCCCACACGGTTCCCAAAGAGGAGGCCCTCCTCTCCCCCTTTCAGGAAAGCTGTGTTGATATAACCCGTGGCATGGACCCGCCCTTCAAGTGCCCCGTTTGGGTACAACACAAAGTCCCAAATGTAGTCATAGTTGCCCACAGATGACACAGACCT